ATCTTTGTGCAATCAATTGTATAATGGATTCTCAGACATCCAGTTGTACAGTATCACTTTAATTCCCTGGTCTCCTTTTTTGTTTTCCCATCAGGCCTACTTATCTAGAATTTACTTTTTACATATATAATATATACATATATATTCAATATATTGAAAAAGATTTCTTTGCTATAGGTATTTATGTCTCGTAATGACAGGCTCAACATTTTCTCTGCCAAAACAAGTTACTTTAATTCTTGCTGTAGCAAAAAAAAAAAAAAAAAAAAGCTGTACTTTAGTTACAGTATGACGGAGGGCATGCAGTAGGATTATGGAAGAATGAAGCAAAGGCAAGTGTTATGTATGGATGAAGAGAAATAAAAAGAATAGGCATACAAGCCACAGATGTGCTCGGAAAGCATTAAYACTGTAAATTATTTTAAGTAGTTAACCAAAGAACTGTCTTCAAAGTTATGCATACACATGCACTAAAAACAGTGTTTCTCGTAATACCCCCTAGCCTCTGCAGCCACATGTCTTCTGCCTCCATAAGGTATTTAGCCATTAAAAGCTTTTTCAGAAAAAGTCAGAAAATATTAGCATAGCATGTACAGATTTTTGAAATGCTAAAAATACTTTGTACCTAATACTGACTCCAGTTTTTATATCATGTTTTCTACAGGGAACCAATGAAATTCTGCGATTATATATTGCTTTGACGGGCATGCAATACGCAGGCAAAATCTTAACTGAGAAAATTAAGTATGTTCTAATTTACTGCTAATAACTTTAACCAAATAAACACAAAAGTTGGTAAATGTTTAGCTATAGTTAAAAGGTGATATTATGTAGAAAAAAATAAAGATGTTGCTGCCTTAGACTATTAGCATACAGCCAGGCTTCACTCCTAGCTCATTCTGAAAATTTTGCCTGGCATTCCTGTAATCCTGAAAGACTCTCGATGGGGCCTCCTCCTTGTTGAATTGTCTCTAACTGTGACTACAGTTTGCAAGCAAACAGTAGTCTGCACTCTGAAAGCAATTAACATTGCCTTTTAAAGTTAAGCAAGGCATCCTGGAATGAGGTTAACTACAGCCAATTAAAAATTAAAATCTCACCTTGGTCACTAGTAGAATTCGTACTAGCTTCTTTGACTGAAAGGTGTAATTCCCTCCCTTTCTTAATTTTCTGTTACTGATGCGTGTGTGCAAGAAGACAGGGAAATGAATGTCCTTAACAGCTGTTGTTTACCCCACATCTTAGAGAAATCAAGAAGGGCAATGTAGGAGTGGCATTGGGGGAGATTTTCGGCAGATTCCAGGACACAATGGGCAGAAAAGTGGATTACGGGCTAGTTGGTGAACATGGAGTAGTGCATCCCAGCCTTCAGGTAAGTGAGGAGAAATGCGGTGCTTTATTCAGACACAGATCTGTGCCATTTGATTTCCTTTACACTTAATCAAAACATTATATCCTGTTTATGTAGGACAATATATATAACTTAAATTTTTAAGATTAAATTTATATCTTGTAAATTTAAGATTTATAAAGTTAAGCAGCTGACTGTAGTATTTCAGGAGTAAGGACTTAATTATAGATTTTATATGGATATAAAGGAAAAAATAAAGACTAAGCACAGATACACCAAATCCAGGTTTATATACAATTTAGTAATTTATAATTTATATAAATTGAGCTTCATAGTATCAAAATCTTTTAATGGTCAGTTGCTTTGTTGGCTGTGTTACAAAACACAGTATAGTAAGTTCAGATCTTTTTTTTTTTGTGTGTGTGTGTGTGTGTGTGTGAGATTTCTGCACCTTGTTGCTCTTTCACAAATTGTGCTCAAGTATAACAACCTCTCCAAATAAGTATTTTCTGCTTTATAGGCAAGTGGCAAGAAACTTGAGGAAAATATTCATTATTTTGGAACGACAGTGAAAGGCCTGCTAAGCAGGTTTGGCAAGGTAACAATACTATTATTGCTCTTATCTTTGATAGTGAATAGTTTTACCAACCAGACTGGCCTCAGTAGCATCTAGATTGGACTATAGGGGGATGGCAAGATCTCGGAGTTCCTTTGCACAGTTTATTGATCGTGAGAAAACAAATACTCACTTGCTGAGGTTAAAAAAAAAAAGGGGGGGGCGGGGGGCAGAAATCCTACCTGCTCCAATGGCTGCTTTAAGTACTTCACTGTAAGCAGTCATTGCATCTCATGTCTCTATTAGCAAATTAATAGGTATGCCACTAATTTTTCAATGATACTTACTGATTCGTATTCCACAGCAAATGACTCCATACCATGCAAAGTGGAATAGTTAGTTACAGTAGAAGGGACTGTTATTCCAGATTTTCATCAATTATGGTAGTTACCTGACATGTTCCAAGAATGCTCATCAAACAAGGGCCTGCATTATTCCACCCAAACTCTTAGATGTTTATAGCTATTTACTAAGTTTGGTACTTTACTTTGAGTAATTTTCACATTTACCCAAGTGCTTTGATGGCATACAGCCATTGGCTGCACTGCCAGAGACACTGTTAAAAGGTGGAGCCTGCTTAATCCAAAATTAGCTGCCATAGATGGTATCATAGAAATTCCGTATTGAAAACGTTAACTGGTTATGCTAAATAAATAGGAGTCTAAATACACAGTATGGAAAAAAAGTTGAACTGAAGTTTTAAATGGACAAAATGCAAACTAATAATTTTTTTTCTTCTAGACAATAGTGGATGAGCAGCTGATTCTGAAGAAAGTGGCAGATATAGTTATTAATTTATATGCAATGACAGCAGCTATCTCCAGAGCGAGCCGGTCTATCAGCATTGGTCTGCGAAATCACGACCATGAAGTAAGTGTGCTGTATATTAGATGCACCCATCTAAAGTCTACACTCTACAGATCACAAAGCTTAGTATTTAGTAATTATTACTTTTTTTTTCTTGCTAAATTTTTAGTATCAAGAGTTTAGCACTAAACAGCCTCTGACTTTTCCTTGAAACACTGCAGCCTGCATCCTTCCACATGCCTTCAGCCAGCTGCTTGTTTTCAGCTCGACTAGTTTGTCTTCCTCTCAGTGCTGAGGCTTGTTACGCAGGGTGCTGCATGATCACCATGCTCTTGGACAACATTGCTCTGATTTAACAGCCAGTGCATGCTAATGCCTCCCATCTGCAAAGCCTCAGCGACACATACCTTTCATAATACTTGAAACTACAGCCTATTCTGGTTAAGAATTCAGCCTTGCTGACACTTCTAAATTGATCGGTGCAGGAGGATAGTAGCTAAACCAGCTTCTTCACAGGTTTGCTGTAGTATTTTAAAGATCTTTTTTTTTTAAAACACACATATTTATGAAGTTGTATTTGTTTTCTTGAGCTTATTAACACCATTCATATCTTTATTAATGATTATGGAAAAAGCATTTGGAAAGATGTAGTCACAGAGAAATGAGGAAGTGTCTGTCCTGTGGTGGTAACTGCTCTGTAGCTCAAAATTTTATGGTAACTATAATACTGCAGAATAAATAATATTGCTGCAATTAAACATGTGACAAATCCAAACTGATTAACCCCAGGGTTTAGTGATCTGGACACTTCACGTTTTATCTGTTTATTACAGAGAATGGCCTCTCATCAAGTTTTCAGTGAAGGGGGTCATCCCAGGTCTGAGAGCCTGAAGAGGGAAGAAAAATTACAAGTGTTAGAACCTGCACCATATATTACCATGTTAAAATGTTCAATATCAAGAGAGAAAAACAAACTTTCAGAATCTTAAATTACTATGTTTTTACTTCATTATTTTGTTTATGAAATCAAGGAACTAATTGTATTACTCTCTTCACAGGTGCTCCTTACAAATATCTTCTGCACAGAAGCATATTTCAAGAATAATTATGCCATAGCTCAGTTAGAAAAACGTAAGTTCAAGAACGACTCTACTCTTGTAACTTTCATAGACACAAAACAAAGTATTTAATACKGTTACCAATGAATCATTTTTGCTTTTCCTTTGTATCTGTTGAATAGGAACTATTCTCTTTTGTATAGATAAACTGCTATGGTGCTTGTCATGGAAGTCATGGGAGCCCTGAAGCTATAGGGAGGAATAGAAAATGTGACAATATGGAATCTTCCTTTAAAGAAAATACTAGCTAAAAATGACTCACTGTTTAAATTAGTTCCTGCCATTGAAGTTTGGATACTTGTATCTAAACTTGAATTCTAAAATCCTGTTTGAAAGAAATTTAGAAAAGCTGTTTCCTGTACTTTGGTTAACTCTCCTTTGGTTTTCTTTGATAGATGCAGATGAAAACCTGGATGACAGCATTAAAAAAGCTGCAAAGCAAGTGCTGGAAAAGAGAGAGTATATTTGTTCTCACCCACTGGACAGGACATTCTAGTTACTTCAATGACAGCCAGCAAACTGCAGAAAATTACTTATTGTTCATTTACAATCATCAGGTTAATTGTCTTGGCACCTTAAAAACAACTATTTCATGAGTTTAGTAATTGTAATAAGCTATAATTATGTAAAGTTTTCAAACCCAACTCTATATAAAGAAGACTAATAAACAAATATTACTTATATCTTCAGTTATCTTATTAGATATGTGTGCGTTGCCCAGAGAAAGGACACCTGTTTAAAAAGTTTATTCCTGTATCCTATCAAGAACTTCCCCATGTTGTGTTGTCTCTTGGCAATGGAGTCACGTTGTACACTGGCCCAGTTGCCCCCCTCTTCTTGCTTGTGCTATATAAAGTGATCTGCTTTGTTTAAAAACAAATGTCATGAGATAAAGTACTGGTCATCAACATTATTCAGATAGGATGTATGATGACAGCTACACATTTTTTTTCTATTCTCTTGCTAAATAATCCCCACGTTAACCTTTTATCTTAGCTAACCTTTTGCCTAAATAACCTCAGTATCATTCAGTGACAAGGTCAACAGTTAAGCAACTGTTCCTAGCCCTTGCTAAATAATCCCCACGTTAACCTTTTATCTTAGCTAACCTTTTGCCTAAATAACCTCAGTATCATTCAGTGACAAGGTCAACAGTTAAGCAACTGTTCCTAGCCCTTTAGGAAGTGTTCACTGGCCAGATCGTGGTAGGAAGACAGTAATTGTAGGTCATAGGTAACAGATGTTACCACTCCTCTGTTGTTCTTGAGATTACCTGCATCCAGAGTAACTGTTGGCTCCATATCATTCTGGAGAGGGTCCTGCTGTTGTGCAAGGATACTAGAGCGACCTCCTTGTGCTGATGGTTTTCTCTTGTAAATGAATGAATGGTTATAGCAAAGCAGTCTGGAACAAAGATGTATTTAGCTGTATCTTTGTAAAAATAATCTTTTCTAAGAGTGTTGCAATTTTTCATTGAATCAAAGATGAAGCACTCAATCTGTAAAAATTATTACAGATTCTGGCCTAAAAACACCAAGGAGTATTTGGTCCAGTGTAAAGCCTGGGACACTGTTGAAATGCCAGCATCTCCTAACTTAAACATGCATCAATGCCAAGAGAAATATTTACAAATGACGAATCCTGCTCCTTCAGGCTGGAGTTTGGCTTTCAGTAGGATTCCTGCTGAGAATGCCCAAGCCTTTTGTCCTAACTAGTTTCCTTGGAATACAGTCTAATACTATGTTGCTAATTATCAGCCAAGTTATTTATTATCGACCTAGTTATTACAACTTTATTTACTGTAGAGTTTCATAGGCATTATCTAAAATGATTTGGCATTCTTTAGCATCCTCCTTAGACAGTTAGCTATTTAGGTTAGGTTCTCTTACTTGAAGTCTGTGCCTTTGAGTTTTTCAAACTTCTCCCGTTCTCTGCTCTGGTAGGGGATTATGTTCTTGGTGCACTTCAAGCTGCGGTGGTCACTGAAGCAGGGTACAAAGCCACACGTGATGCTCTTCCTCTTTCCCTGCATATCATGGGGCCTGTCCAGCACCGCCAGGGCTGGGATAGGCTGGGCAAGAGAACAGAAAGCACAATCAGGCAGTGGGTGTCAGCTCTGCTTAAAAACAAGCAGAATGGCTTCCTATGCAGTAAAGGTACGTGAAGTGCTCCTGAGCTAACACATGAGCTGATCTAAGTTGTCTAAGTAGACGCAGTTCCTGGACATGAGACATTACTGCAGTAAGAGYTGGGCTGAGATGACACATTGCTAGCTAAGGGATCAAACTCTGTCTTAAACATAAGGTTCTGGGCAAGGACAGATGAACAGAGACTCTCCCCACCTGTCCCCTTAGGACCACAGACTTTACTCTTTTACGTGTTTCCCACATTAACTGCTGCTGCTAACAAAGTGCAACGGGTAAAGGAAGGGCAAAAGCAGCAAGAATCTAATTTGACACAGGAATAACAAGCCTGTACAGCAAACAAATAAATTCTGTGCCTGGAAATATGCTGTTCCCTAAGCCCAAACACAAGGAATGTGAAACAGGGAACAGCTGCTGAAGCACCTGAGTGACAGTGTTGTGACAACACCGAGCCCTCCAAAGAGGACGTGCCCTAACACAGTGCTCTACAGGAACCGTAGTCAAGCTGCCGGTAGGTGGAATTCCTTACTGTATGGCGCAGAGGCCTTGGTATTTACTTAATAACCATCTCTGAGCTGCTGCAGCAAAGGGGAAAAAAAAAAAAAATACAGCGGTCAGTGGTCCAAGATGCCAAACGGGGGGGGGGAGGCGGGGGTGGCAAAGGAGCATCAGACCACATGGATAACAAGACAATGACACTAAATCAGTTAATGGAGCTGAGATACTATTCCCTTCTTCGGAAAATGATCTTAAATAAAAAGTAAGTAGAAAATAGTGATGCTACAATAAAGTGCGCTGCTTGTTTAGCTTTACTGTATCTAGCTTGGGAAAATTCTGTGTTCCTTCAACAACCCATATTACCCAGAAAGGGAACTTTTCTGTTACTGTCACAGGAAAAACACTGTAACTAAACATGAAGAGCAACACTGGAAAAGGAGAAATGACAAAATACAGCATCATTCCACTCCCCACAAAGGACAAAACATGACACATATCTTTCTTCCAACATATACACCCAGAAAGTTATTGCACATAACCCCTCCCTTATAAAGGGATGGCTTTATAAAACAGTAGCTAATTCTGCAAAACAAGCCCTGAAAAACAGCTTCCAAAAAACAAACAAACAAATAAACAAAACCCTTATCTCAGCGCTCAAATCCAATTGCCATTAGCAGACGGACAGTTCAAGTTGCGTATTATGTAATTAAAATAATTATTTATATTTAACCTAGCAAAAGAGGCTTTTCACTGAAATTATAGAAAACAGGCAAATCACTGGCCAAGATGGGGAACTTGCACAGTTTCAACAGTCAGCTCAACAAGAAGGGAAAGCACAGAGTACTCTGCTCACAGCCTGCCACAGCAAGTAAACAACTCTAGGCAGGCTGCTGCTGCGTGGCTATCTAACACAAGTATTAATGCTCATCCTATTAAAAAGAGGCAGAGAGCGGTAGTTAGCCTAAAGGGCTGAACACTGCTTCTGTATTAACATTCTCCTTGTTCCGCTGTTTGTTTTTTCTTGCACAGCTGCAGAAACAGAGAGCTTCATTCCCTTTGATCAGCTTCAAAAGCATGCTCAATGTTTGGGTCATTCATTTAAATGCAAGCACAGTCTCTGGTTCTGTAGACAAAAGATCAGTTAGGTGCAGGCCACCCATATAGCGTTTCATATTAATGAGCACAAATCCTTTAGTCTTGCAAGTGTGGGGGTGTCTGCGTGGGATTTTACACTGGCAAGCTGAAGTGCCGTGCTCAGAAAGACTATACAGCACTATGGTAATCAAGAGCGCACATGGTGAGACTCTTGGTATCTAGTCAATAGATGTGGCTTGGTCTTTGAATTTCATTACAGGACATTAGAATTTCACTGAATAGTTGCTAAGCCAGCTGCTCAACAATCATTTTTCGTTTCTCACCCACTGTGCACTGACAGGCAAGTTATCTGAGCAAAACTGTTCGCCCTTCCGCCATTATCGCTGACTATTAAAGCAGAGAGTAATAAAAAACACATATTTAGTGCCGTGAGTTTTTTTTTTTTTAAGTTTTGTCACATGTAGTTGACCACTGTTGTTAGTATCAAGTTTAGCAAATATTTTTTTTTCTTAAAAAAAATAGTTAAATTAATAAGACTAATAAATTTCTGCATACCACAAGAAGCAGGACAGCAGTTGCTGATTACAGGCAGGTGCCAGGGTAAGAACCCCAGGCAAGTTACCTTTAAAATGAGGCCTGGCTTCCTGAGCGAGAACTTCAGCGGTTTGTCTTTCAGAAGTCCTTGGAGTTTCTGCAGCTGAAAACTGGCTCCTGGCCCACGTGAGCGCAGCTCAGCTGCCGGCGAGCACCGATGAACTTTCAGCTTGGTGTCATCAAACACAGGCTGCAGAACTGACATATTGTCTTCAGGAGGCCACAGGTACATGGAAAACATGGGAAAGTTTGGATGTTTCAATAAGGATGTTAAAAGCCTGCTATTAGAATGAACAACTTTTCTAACAAGGAATCAGCTAGAACAAAAGTTACAGGTTTTAGAATAAAGGCTGGTGCCCCAGAACAAAGACACTCACTGTACTGTAGGCTCCATAAAACGAACATGAAAGTGAAATTAATTCTGTCTATTTCAAAAGCAGTCTTCCTGAGAGGCAGTAGAGGAGACCTGCACTAAATGTGTGTTGCAGGTCATGGGGTAATATGCCAGCCCAAAAGGTGTAGAAGCTAAAAGATTCTAGCAAGAACAATAAAGCCATCACTCCCGGCTCATAAGCATTCCAGTGAATTTCAAACAGTTGGAGAGCATTGGGGCGTGAGTAACACACAGCAAAGCTTTCAGAATAGATTCTTATAATTAAACTTCAACATAACTTTGCCTTTTATCTTGCTGTATAGGTGGGAATATGAGGCACACTGACCACCTCACCAGCTAAGATTAGCTGAGAAGGAGGCACCACAGGCTGCTGTGACAGAGCCTGCAGATTCAATCTCTTCTTAGCTCTCCTCTGGACTTATTTTCTGGAATTGCTTACAGTTTGCAAGGTCAATTTTTTCTGACCTGATGAAACAAAATGATTTTTCACCAATCCTTACTAAAAAAAAAAAAAAAAAAGACAGCTAACAGAGTCAGCTTTAGAGAAGAACAAACCAAGAAAGATATATATACCCTACCCTCATACTTAACTATAAAGGATCTAAGGCTAAGAACTTGCATAATGGTCGGGCACAATATGGCTGAGATCTTAACAACAAAGATCTGTTAGCGTGAAACAATTTTGATGTCTGTGGAGCCCCTTGCTAAACCTCTGTGCACTCATATCCCTTGATGCAGAACTGAACAAGCTTCCAGCCTGTATGTCAGAGCTTCAATATAAAACAGTGCCATTAGCAAATTAAGAGAGCCCCATTACCTCGCTGCAGGTCTGTGGTCGTGAGTGGCTCAGGCGGTTTCTTGTAAAGATCAAAATCAATGTGTCGCTCGTCCCAACCCCATCTGTCTCGTGACAGAACTGGCTCCATGTTACCAAACAGAACATTCTCCTGCCATTGCTATAAGACAATTGAATCCCTTTAAGAAATCAAGCTAACATCACCAGAGAAGAGTCACAAGAAACACAGCAGCTAGACTTTCAGGTGGAATGGGAAAAGATTTCAGAAGAGGGATTAGATCCTACTATTACAGCAGTTACTTCATTGCACAAGCCGATATCACTGTAAATTGCCTTTCAACTTGTTACAACTGAGTCACCTGAGTAAGAACAAAAATCCATTATATGCACAAGCATCTGATACTCTATGACTTGGACAATAGCTCATCTAATATTTAGAGTATATTTCAAAAATAGCTAGCAGAGAATTCTCCAATTTCATATTTCTGTCACATTTCTCTGCAGCAATACAAGCAGATTGATACGCTTTCTGAGGTTTCTGCTAAGCTTGCAGGTACACAGGGATCATCACTTTTCATATAACTCCGTGTCCATGTCTTCCTCTGCAAAGGGAGCTTTGAGATGTATCCAGAAACTAGCTAGCTATTTCTTATGCTCTTACTAGAAGGAAGTCACACTGCAAAATTGTTCTGGCTGTACAGAATTTTTAAACCAGTGACAGCTAAACATGATACTAAGCATAAAATTAGGGTGCAATGCTTTTATAAAGAAAAAGCTTTTTCTCGTACTTCTAAAAATACAATGGTTGTATTAAAATATTTGGGCCACAAGCACAGGTGTGCTGAAGAAGTAGATATGAGGGGAAAAAAAATGTGCATTTGAAACATGGCAGAAATATTCACCATCATAGAACACGATATTATGATTTTTCTGCTGTTACCCTCCACTTTTACGTGTAAAGCACAGTATACTGCATTAATATCTGTTAATACTCTATATGGCAAATATATTTTCTATACATGTGATCAAGCTAGAATTTGTGCATCCAAACAAAAGTGTGTTGCCTAGCTGAGCTAAGGTCTAATATACTTAAAATGAAAGTACAGATGTCAGCTGCAGAAGAGCTACCTATGCTGTCCTCTCCAAGAGAGATCGCCACAGGTAAAAGCCACCTGCCTCTTTCAAAGTCTCCTAAAATTTGTTTTGGATAGTAGATAACACTAGTATTTACTCAATTAAGTTTTATGTTACCTCATGTAACTCCTTCACACGTGCCTCATCAGGCATTTGAGGGTGCAAGTTGCTTTCAATACTGCTCTTAAAACCAGGAAAAACAAATCCATCTCCTGACTGCCACATACTTTTGGATTTTGCCAAGTACTCTTTATAAGCAGCAACCAGATCTACTGGATCAAACATAGCTGATAGATATTCATGGCAATAAGTGAACCTCTTCTTTGGTTTCTACAAAACAAAAAAACAAAAGGTTTCTTTTTTGTTATATGAAGTCCTTGTTTCCTGGAAGAGGCTCATAGAACCTTGAAAAATAACCAAAGTTATAGAGTCACTACCAGTTTTCTAATTATGGCCACGGGCAATCATAATTCAGATCAAAATTAGAAAAATCACCACAAATTACACAAAAAATATTTTAAAACTTATTTCTTTTATGATCTAACTATGGATTTAATGACAACTGCTAGAATGCAATCTCTGTAAAATAATCACAGAAGACAAATACTTTTAATATTGTATCCATTTGCTCACAAAAACTACAGATCATACCATGCTCATGGTACAGCATGAAGAGCTATGACAAAGCTACAATAATCTCCACTAGTCAGCCGTTTAGGTTAACCCTCTTTTGAACCATCCCAGATGGTTGTCAAAAAATATATAAAACAAAACCAAAAAATCATAATAAAAACTTACACCAATTCCTTCCAGAATTTATCATTTAGCAGGCAAGACTGATAATTTTATCATCGTGATAATATTTTAATCATCATCATCATCATTTTAATCATTTAATCATCATGATTAAAAACAACAGAATGCTGGGTAAACTGAACTTGGAAATTACATAATGTATATACAAATCTCTCAAGACATGATCTCTTATTCTCACAACAGTTAAGAATTTCCAAAGCACAGAATTCATCTAACTTTCATTACGGTTCTGTCAAATCTGGCTGTATATTTTTACTACATTCAATGTGGATCTTGTCAATGCACACAGTTCACCTCACTGCAAAGTAGAGGGCTACATTTGATCAGATCAATGCTCTCGAGGTTCCATTTACTATCTATATTGCAGACACCTAAACTCTGAAAGTCAAATTTTCAACCAGGACAACACTCCTATAAACTTGGCTTTATGCAGCTGTTGACAACAACTTACATGATGTTCAATAATACATAAAGACAGGCCTTAAGTCCATGTGTATAATGAAATATTATCATCATAAAAACTAAATTATAACACAAACCTTGAAGAAAAAAGCTGAGTTTCATCAAATATCTTTCTAAATCAACCTATGCTGACATTGCTATTATTCATATTCTCCCGTTTGTAAAATGTGTGGGACTCATAACTGGAAGTGAGCTGCTAGGTTACCAACTCCACACTCACATGGGAATTCAAGTCACTGAGACAAAACAATTTGACTATAATGAATGGCATTGGGGCAGAATTTAACACAGCAAGTAACAGTACCTCTGACTCAGAAATCTTTTTGGATACCTCAGCCTGTATATTAATGAGAAAGGCATAATGTAAACCAAATTAAGCTCAACTCTCTCTTTTCACATTATGTGTGGCAAGCCACAATCTTCCAGTCATTTGTCCCAATTCACCTTTGTCATTTCCTGGCGAAGATGCTTCTTTGCAAGTTCTGCAGAATTCAGGCCCTGTGAACTGTAGTTATAAACAGATTTGCCATCAGCAGGAAAAATCCTGAAGGTTTCAAACTTGGGGTGTTTTACCTTTCCTTTGAGTTGTCTTACGGTGTCAATGTTGGCCTGAAAAGAGGGATTACATATCAGCTTTGCCTGACTTTGAATTCACAATACTATGATAAAATTATGATCAAGCAACTGATTCTATATGCACTGAAAAAAAAAAAAAAAAAGAGCTGTTCCTAAAGGGCCATTATACTTCCACAGGAAAAATAAACAAAACAAACCAACCAAACAAAACCCACCCACCCACCCACAAACCTCTACAGCTCTTTACAAACACAAATGATACTTTTTCTATGTTAATATGCTTTTTGCTATGTAACAGCATATTAATAAAATGCTTCACAAAAATACTTTAATCTGCAGCAAAAAAACAGTGCTGTTTCTGTTTCACAGTGATTCATCATTTCATCCCTGCATTTGACATTCTTCAACATTAACAGCAGTACACTGGAGATGTACACTCAGATGTACACAATCAGATGTAACTCCTGCTTAGAGATCTAAATAGCCTTCCTGCAGGGATGCTGCTGAACTGGTCTTCTTCAAGGAAATAAGACTGATCTTCTCATTTCTAAGACTGTTAACACTCCAGCAAATACAATGGCATAGGAAATAATATGTAACATCATTTAACTCTTTAAATTTCTCTGCTAGCACACTGCAACTAAACACTCACTCTCTTTGCGTGGACGTAAGATCATCACTCTAGACAGTGTTTACAGTAATCTGACTTTGAATGCAGACTTTGGCACAACAGATAATTACTGCAAGAGAGTAATTACTGCAAGAGAGTGACACAAGGAAAGAGGAAGTCATTTCCTTGTAGTGACACTGAGGGTTTCCTCTGTTTTCACATGGCTGTAGACATTTTGCCTCCCCTCAGGGATGTGAAGCCTGAATGACATATTAAACCAGAACAGCAGGGAAGTTATAGAAAAGAAAGTGAAAAAGAAAGATAGCAATAAATTATTTTAAATAAATAGCCTTATTCATGCAGTGTCTCCTCTCTTTACTTGTAGGCACTACGATTTTCCCCCGCAAGAAGCAATTACTTTTATCACTTTTATTGCAAAATAAAGTTACCATATGCATTTTGATAATTTTTGAATGATAAACTCATTCATGAGTGCCTCGCTGAAGTCCAGCAAGTCATTATTCCAGGAGCAGGAGGTGCAGCCACCAGGCTTGCCTCATGCACAGCACATACTACTCACCACAATATGGTTTCTCTCAGAGGATATTTTGCCTTCTATTTCTTTCTTCCACTGCACATACTTTTCATTGTGGTTATCTAATGTAGAATATACTGCCTGTTTCACTCGGCTAACTCTTTGTGGTATTGTAAAAGAATCAGAGGAAAACGGGACTAATGAAGGTTTCTGAGTGAACAGATCCTTTTTAGTTAATGGAATTCCAAACTCTTGACTCAAGATTGTGATCATTTCTGCTGAGGGCAACAAATCCTCATGAATAACATCCCTCAACCTTTTACTGTGACAGAGGTAACTGAGCCTAAAAACAGACATCAATATTTATTAGTGTAGAAAGACTTAGCTCCAATCCAATCTTTAAAGTCATTAAAGGTATTACAGTAGAAAATCTTGTATGATCTTAAATATCTGTTTATTAAGAGATTCAGGTTCAGTTCACGCACACTGATATTTAGTAGGGACAAAGAAGTTGAACAAAACTCCAAAAGAAAAAGTCGGGAGCAGGAAGGAGATTCTCCCTCACCCTCTTCCTTTCCCTAGTTGCATTAGGAAAACTGCTTGCTATATTTCCCTGCTTGGTTCACATGTCTTTTTGGATCTATCAAATTCTATCAAGCTTACTTCTTACCTCATTCTGCACCACCTCTAAGAACAGCGCATGGAATTAAATACTTCACAGCTGATGCTTCTGACATGAGTATTTGCATTCTTTTCAGCTATTTTCTGATATTGTACTATCTTATTGATAACATCACTCCTCTCTTCACAAATTATGACCTCTTCACACAAAAAAACTGAGCTCACTAATACTGTTACTGCTACATCTGTAAAGTATGTTTTTCTCTCTTAGCATATCTCATTCAAAATCTGAACTACCCATTAGGCCCACAGATTGCTTTTGTCAGGAAAAATATAGCCAAGATGATTCGTTTTTATAGCAAATATTCATTGAACTTTAATGATATTTAATTTTTTAATTTCTTAAGTATGAATCCAGAAAATGCCCTACCTGGACAAGGCCTGGAAACATGCCTGAGGAACCATACCTCTGACATAAAGCAGTGGCTGTTTCGTTATAGTGAAGAGGGGCTTACAGAGGCGGAAGTGATACAGCACAGCTTCCAGATCTAGGTACAGGCGCTGACGGAAAGACAGTTGTGAATTATACAGTATTTCCAATTGTCCATCTCCCGGTCTGTAAGTTCTGTAACACAGCACCGTAACAACAAGGTAATAGCAATCAGCCCCTAACTCAGGTCTCCTCAAGGCTACAAAATAATTATAATCTCTTACCAGACTGCCTTGCTTGTATCATTTAAATTGAACCTTTTAATGGCTTCCATCCAGCAGGAGTCTTTTAAAAATTATGATTATGGACAAATTAAAAAGACATTATCCAAACCCTCACACCATGATTAATATGAATGCATCTTTCTTTTAAACTACATGGTAATCTTACCACAATTTCATCAGTTTCATCAGCATTGTGCTCTATAAAAACTTTATTAACTATAAAAATGTTTTAGAAATATTTCTACTACAAATATCAAAATTCATGTTGCAGCAGTTAAGCGTAACTCCAATTTAGGTAACATTCACACTGACAAGATAACTTTTCACAAATAATTTCAGAATTTCAGCGAAGAGATGCACATTAAAAAAAATAAAAAATGGAAAACAGGAAAGCTATAACCATGTAGCACAATGTTGAGAAGAAAAACAATTTTTAAAAATTAAATATAAATGAAATTCGACGGACACATTAAATGAAAATTGAGGGACACATCCACCACAAATCCTAAGGATTATGTAAATGAAAAAGAAAAATTATAAACGATGTGTTACTTCCCTCTGAAATAAATATGCCACTCAGTGAAACGTGCATAGGTTTCAGCTTATAATACAAAATTCCTATCTGCTGGCATTTCCTAACAAGTTACCTAACACTAAGCTGCAAAATTCCGATACACTTAAGCAGTAGAGTGTTACTGTGCTATTTCAGTTTTATTGACATGGCTGTATTGTGAATATTGCCCAAAGACTCGGGTTTGTCAAAAGCTCCTTTGAAAATTGAAATTAGTTTAACACTGCTAAGTTGATTCTGAACTCTTAATAACCATCATTTACTTGTGGAAATAATGCATACAAAAACAAATCTAATCTCAATTTTTTTTTTTTTTGCTCTCACACTCCCTTTGCACAGGGAGTTGTTGATGAGCTCATGTGCACAAAAGTGCACTTCTCAGACTACATTGTGTTCCTTTAATTAATTAATCTTTCTTTTCTCCGTAGGGGCAAGGGCTCTTGTTGCTCCCAAAGGTTAAGAAGGATGTATATGTGTGTACCTGCATATTGTTCTTAACATTTTGTATGATAATTATAGTTAAGTTTTTCTGCAGTATCTTCCAAACAATCTGCTTTTATGAATGTTCCAGAATCCTCTCTTTCTTCAAAGCTTCCTGTCCAATGGACTTTGATCAGTGGACCAATGACTACAGCAAATTTTGAGTGATAAAAATAGCTTTAATTTTCATGAAAAGGGCAACCAAACTAACCTACAAAAGTCTCCTGTCTTAGATCATTCAAATTAAATTGAACTTTGCATCATTTGTCTGCAGAGTCATGCATAGGAAAACCATGGAACAAAAAAAGAGTTTATTACTATTATTACTTAGAATTATCTGATTATAGCCTTTTCCACAAACTGGCTTAGCAAAGGAAGTACACACTGGAATTCCGCTCATTTTAAATTTACATGGGTGAATGTGAAAACGACAGGATGACTATTCATCAAACTTTGATGGAGGCACTGGGGGTCAGTCTCTAAAACTGCATTGAAAGTTTTGACTATGTATGCGACCATATAGTTTTGTATAGAAAGAATGGAGAAGGTCCAAGTCAGGTCAAAATATCTCAATCCAGGAAGTAACTARTAAAAATGAACTAATAAAAACTCTCTTACCTTTCGAAGTGTCTATCCCAGAGTCTCTTGATTGCTTTGTCTTTGAATCCCTCCAAGACAAAGAGATGAACTGCTCCATCCAGCACATGAAAACCAGTAATGATATCCAGCTCAGGAAATTCCTTAAGCGTGGTTTTCATTTTTAAGGTAGCCAGAGCCATCTGGATTAATGGCATAGGATAACAGTCCAGCTGGAGGGCTTCTGCATTGATTGCGGTAATCTCTTCCACCAAATCATGTAATAATGATACATTGTTATAGTCAAAAACATAGATTATGCAGCCATATGGGTAATTTGTGACTTCAGCTTGCAGTCCCAATGGTACAGCTATTTCCACTCTTACTTTCAAAAGGGAGTCTGACTCTAGATAATGCCCCATAGGCATTAGAGAAAAACTATCACCAGATCCTACTATTCTCTCATTTTTATCCTCCTCCTTGCAGGCAGSTACATTTGGAACTGAGCAGCTATGAATTGGTGCACTGATATTCAGGCACTTTTTGCCCAACAATAGATCAGCAAGACTGACTTTAGCTATCCCATGCGGATGCCATGGTTTCTTCTCTGCAGATGAGTTACAGACTGTGGATTTGCAAGCAAGAAGGCTTACCTCGCCCACCTTTTCATCAGCTAGATCCTCCCCAAACAAACACGGTTTCCTTGTGTCATTTGCCATGTTTCTATCACGGTCATGAACTTCAACCTCTATAGGTGGACCTCTAAGACAGGCTTGTAATTCTTCGGGTTTCATCATCCCTGTTAGAAGCACGTTAGCATCCTTAAAGTAGACATGAGTTCCATGGATTTGTCCATGAGTTTGATGAACTGGAAAGTTGTGAAATTTGTACTTGCAGTAAGTGGGAACACACATTTTCTAAAAAACAAAAAATGAGTGGAAATTGTTATATCTAGTATCAACTTTTCTCTTTTCCTCTTAATCTTTATGTTTGTACAGCCTTTTCTAGCACAAATATATTGGAGGGTGTGCTTCAAGGCACAAACTATGCCCTTCAAGGCACCAAAGACACCACTTTATGTGCCTGGATCCTAGTATCAGGAATTTATTGTCCTCTGCATTTGCCAAATCTCAACTTTGCTGACTTTCCATATATAACTCCACACTCCTCCTTTCTCCATTCAGAAAGAAGCAAGCAGAAGCACTGCAGTGAGGCTAGACCTTTCTTGTTGCTCTCTCTATATTAACCTGTACAAGACTCAGGGCCTAGAATAAATGTCTATAGCTAAAAGTTTGTAAATGATCTCCATTTAGCCGTTTGTTTATGAATGTAGGGAAAGAACTGGGAGTTTTTTTCCACAATGTTTCTGTTGTGGTTCCGCAGCTATCTATCAGCATTATGACAACATGTGGGAATGGAAACTACATTAAAACTTTCTGGAATGTCTTAAAACTTCCTAATTTGCAACCATTATTCCATAGAGTATTACATTTGGCAAGGGAAATTTAGTCAAAACTTCTATGATCACTCTCCAGATGACATTTGGCATATTTTGCTTCCATCGTTTATTATTATCGTTTATTATACTGATAGTATTTTTCCAGTTACCTTTCATAAATGCTCAAATCAATTTGACCACACTTAACTATTTAAGTTTTTTAAAGGTTTTTGACATAAGTCTATTATATTATTTTCACAACAAAAACAAGCAAACTCCCTCCATACCCCTAGTATTACGGACCAAGCTAATATACCACATAATTCTCTTATAATTCCACCTGAAGTAGGAAACTACAAAACAGCTCCCAAAATGTTTTTACAAGATGACATCTCTCAACATTTACAAAGGCCATGAGAGCCTTATGCAAAACCAAAAGTCTTGGGCTATCTTCACCAATAAAAATTATTCTTTTTATGTACAGCATTTTTAGTGAAGTGAAACATTTGCCATTTTTAAGCTACATAATATTTTTCCCAAACAGGAAAAGAGGTTGTTCTATTGAGAAAATCAACAGATTTATCAACAGATCTATCAACAGATCTATTTAACAGATCTATCAACAAATTGCTTCAAACAGGATAGCGTTAGAGATGATTTAGCTTCCCTGCCTGATCTACTGCTTTGAAATCAAAATATGATTACTAAATATAAACCACAACCCCTAGAAAAGACAAGAATTATTGTTTTGGTGTCAATGCTTATGATCCAAAGGCACCACTCTTTTGGAGGAAATATGTTAGACTTGACATATAATAAACAAAGCTCCCTTTAAACCATGCTAATGTTTGAATCAAAGTTATTTCACAGTAAGAGGGGGAATTCTTCAGAAAGAGAACAGTGGTACAAGTTACCTGCAGCACTTCTATTGGTACAGGTGTATTTGGGAGGCAGGTAGCTGAACGGATTTTTATAACAAGTGGATTCAATTCATGTCTTTGTCTTTCAGATAGAAGAGGTGTTGCTACAGTGAAACTCATATAGGCATCTAAAACTTTAGGATTATTTTCTTCCAGTCGACTGATCACAGACTTTTCCCCTTTTTAAACATACAAGATCAAATACTGTTATATAAGCAGTTCCATCAAGGTAGAAGTATATGATTCTATCAATTAAAAATTTCCTTTGGACTGTATTAAATGAAGCAAAAGTATACTTTTAACTGCTTGAAGTATTATCTTTTATGAGGAAGAAATAATAACCCCTAAATGGTGACAACCATTCCCATGACTAGCTGCTGAAAACACACAGAAATATATTTTTTCTAAAGATGCAAACATACATGTCACACAAACCAAAAATTTAAATCAGTTCAGAATTTTTTCATCAAAATCAAACCTTTAGATTAAAAAAGTTAAGAAAGTTGTTCAGTGGGCTTCACCATTCTCTATTTTAACCTGTCAGATTTACTTCCCTCTTTGGTTTTCCTGGGTCCAGAAGTATCTTAACTGTAAAGCCTATGGTATCGGAAATCTAGGTCAAATAGTCAAATTCTAAATACTGTTGCTATGCCAAACATTTTTTAAGGTGCAATTCTCATGCCATCATTTGTTTAATGTCAGATAGGCTGCAAATACTACAGAAATGCTAAGGCTGTTAGTGGAGAATACTTTATGAGAATTACCAAAACACAAAATTACATCTGTGACAGCTCTACCTAAATAGTGCAATCTCATTTACTGCACATTACTCAACCAGCATCTTCCCCAAACTCTGTTCAGAGCTATATTAACTTAATATCCTATGCAAGTGAAATACAAAAAAAAAAAAAAAAAAAAAAAAAAAAAAAAAAAAAAAAAAAAAAAAGACTATTAAGATAAATATCTGTGAAAGCACATTCCTAACAATGCGAACATGAGGAAGGAAAAAAAAAAAAAAATTTTTGCCAGCCTCTCCAAGTGCTGAAGTATTTGCTGCAATGTAAATAATGTGCTGTGAAATATTAAGTAGAATGACTGTATCTATATCCCTTTCTGCTTATTTCAGAAGTTGAGAATTACCTTCTCCCTGTCAGAACATATTTCTTAGTGATAGAGGATGGCTTAAAATAAAAAGAAACTAAGAGGAATTAATCCAATAGATGTTGTTGGAAAAAATAAATAGATTTTTTTGGAGAAAAAAAAAAGGCAGCAGAATAAAACAGCAACAGAATAAAAAGGCATATTTAACTCACTGCACACCAAAATGGAACAACATGATGATTAATAATGAATGTTAATCTTGTCACAGGGAAGTCCAACACATTCTGAGTAAAACAAACAGGATACAAGAACACCCAGAACCCAGAAGTCAGCCTCCTCCAGATGAACACCAAATCCCACTGATATCCCAAACTATTTTCTATTTTAATCAGCCAGCTTTTAGCTAGAGCATGAAGTTCCCTAGAGATATTTATATACAGATTCCACCAGACATACTCTGAAGTGTGGGGGCTTCAGAGATACACAATATTCTAGCATACCTTTCCCTCCCATCCCCTTTCTTAAAGAATAATACCTGCAAGGAGAGGCATGAGATCCAGCTGCAGTGAAGCAATGCCATATTTCTTTGCCATAGCCAGGAACACGGCTTGCGTGTTAACAAGGTTTACAAAGGTCAACAATCTTTTGTTGCCTGCAGCAGTTATTTTTCTGGGATCAAAACTTCCTTCCCCTATTAACGGAGGATAGGGTTAGACTGAGTAGGAAGCAGGAACTACATTCCTTCAATTTATCAGAGAAATAATTTAGTATTTATTGCAACTCATAGATGGCACAACTTGGCACTGTCCTTGGAAGGAGGCTTCAACCATCTGTTTTAATACAAGCTTAGGCAAATATTTCAGTATGCTCAAGTCTTCATTGCACAGTCTTGCACCTAGTCTTGCACACTGCACCTAGAGCATTACATGCTCCAGGTATCCCTGCTCAAGCAGGGAGGTTGGACTAGATGATCTCTAGAGGTCCCTTCCAACCTTAACCATTCTGTGATTCTGCRTCTACCCTAAATATACCATCTCTACTTTACAAGGAAGAGAAATTTGCAACAGATGGAATTACCAAAACTAAGTTTATCTTTGACAATTGTTCCTTTGCATATATGTGCTAAGACATAAATAATATTCTTATTGATATGACGGCCTTCTATTTCTCCAGAAAATTGTGTGTTGTAACTTTTCAAATCAGAAATACTGTACTTCTTTCTCTTCACAATGATACCATGGAAATAAACGCAATCATTTTTGTAATTTACTCATTTGTTGAGTCTGTTCTCTTTCCTCTTCTTAAATTCTTTTCCTCAGACCTAGTCTTTGCTCAACCTTAAAAGCTGAAATAGTCCCAGTCTCACCCTTTAAGTTCCAAGTTCAGGGCTCTGCCCAACCACTTAACAAACGAAGTAAGGTGTTTCAGCACAAATAGCTACAATTTGGCTAATCTATAGCAAGCGAACACGCAACTTAAAAAATAAAAGAACTGCAGAAATACTAGTACTACTAGTCCAGTCTGTAATAAAAGAAATGGCAGAATGGTGTAAAGATAAATAAAAGGAAAAAAAAAGAGGAATTCAATATGTTATTACTGGAGATTTTTCATTAAGTAAGAGTAGCAATGAGACAAGAAATATTTGCAGTATAAAAATTAACCATGGGGGAAAAACAATTCCAACTGCTTTAACTGTGAAGGAAATAGTGGGTGGAAGTTGAGATGTGTGTAGCTGATCATGCATATCACAGGTATTCAGAGTCATAGGACAGAAAGGTTTAGCCAGAGATGTAAAATAAACCAGACAGATGAGGTTCAGGGTTAAGCTCTTTAAACCCTGCGATGCAACTTGAGCTGCCTTCACCATCTTTCTGCATAGGAGAAGGCTCTGAAATGCCTCCCTATTTGTGTGTGTGCTCTACAGTGCTTTTCTTAAAACTCGTCCAAAGGTCACTTCATGAAAGCAAGATCTTGCCACACTGGATAGCAACAGAAAACATTTGTCAAGTAAAGTTTTTGCTGACATTACTGGTGCACTCAACTTGACGGAACCACCCTACAACCAAACATTTTCATTGGCGCCAAATGATGCTCATTATTAAACTAAAGTACTTTTCAGAGTATGTCCTGCAACCTTACGATGTCATGCCGATTTCTGTATGTTAAAGTGCATTATTTAAAATACGGAATTTAACACATGCTGTAGTGCCCATTGTTGCAGTTGTCATTGTCTCTTATCTTTCAGGAGCACTTAGTCAATAAGCTATGGAAGACAGAGCAAAAGATCGCAGTTGGGCTGTGGTTTCCATGTAACAGTATGAATGCACTGGAAATGAAATGGACTGTAAAACCTTGCCTCTTGTGACAAGAAAGAGGTAAGTGATATGAGACAACAGTGGTGTAACAATTTCAGTATTAGAATTGTTGTTTTAGCTCTGATGTTACTTTTTATATCTTTTATTAAAGTCCCTTGCTATTTTTTCCACTCTCAGAGCACTTCAGATGGTAAGATAGGGCTATTACAATCCTAGCTTCACTCTACTAGCTAAGAAAGCTGTGGTACATGAAATTCACTTAACTACAGAAGAAACACAGAAAGCTCATGGCAGATCTGAAACTAAGATACTGGTCCCATAACGCTTACTTCTTCATAACCTTCATCTCTTTATTAAAAAAAAACAAAAAACACATAAACAGAATTCCTCATCTACCTTTTAAAATTTCAACTATAATTCCATTCTAAACTCACCACTTGTAGTAACTGTCTGGTCTTCTGGATATGTCAGACTTCCCAAGTTATCTTTTGTCTTCTCATTTTTTTCTGAAGTTGCATTATCCAGAGGACCAGCAACTATCTTCTGCTTCACAAGTGGGACTTCATTCAGTAATCTATTTTTAGCAAACGGCATGCTTCAAAAACATTAAGAAAATTTTAACATATTTAAGAAACACAGAATAAATAAACAACATATTAAAAATAAACTTTGTTTTCAAATGGCTATTTTTTCCTCTTCTTAAAATTACTTCAAAGTAAATCCTATTTCAAATATTGGATTAGTATCAACAGAATACATAATCACACACTACATCTTCTCCATCACTTTTGCATAATTACTAGATGTTAACACAAAATGCTTAGGTGTTCATTTAAACAAATGGACACTTGTACATTGCTCCCTATATATGCAGAATACCATAGGTCTCTGATGCACTATTAAAAAAAGTCACACAAGATTTCACTGCATCTTAAAATTCCTGAATAAAGGATTTCTTTATCATGGCTTCTCTACAATGCTATATTGCATTTGGATGGCAGTAGCACAAAACACATCACAGTAAAATTGTTTCACTTGTGAAGATCACACTCAACTCTGAAGATTCCTCACAAATACTAAGCATACCCTTCTTAAGGGGAGGGTGACACTTGGATTACAGAATTTTAAATGCAGTTGCAAAGAAGTACTATGTCAAGAAAATTTTTAGTCAGAAGTCTTCACTCCTAATCATGCTTTCAAATTAGCCCATACTGCATCCAAACATTTTTTTCCTGATGATATTTACACAGGTAACTTGCTTTGGAAGAAGCTGATGTTTCTATCAGCTTAACTTAAATCAGAGAGTAATTTGACCAAAGCAGATTCCTAGTTACAGAGCTGATTCCATGATTTTAGATGCCAGCAAAGCTTGTTCTGCCATTAACTCTTACTGCTGAAACTATCTTCAACCTTTTCAAAGAGAAGAGGTATCAGGAGCTGCTAAAAGCTCATACTTCTGCCACTTCTTAACATTCTCACTTGACCAAATAGCAGTAGAAGTCATAATTTTTATGGTATCTTAATACTTTTGCTCCTCCACCATAATCAGTAGACTTGAGTGCAAAAAGTACTACTGCAGAAAAGTTAGCCACTTGTGAAATCACCATAAAATTCAAACATGGTTTAAAAAAAAAAATATTGAAAACTAATTGTATTTGCAATATATGAATATTTCCAAAACCAAATGCAACATTCTTACCTCATTGTATGCGAGTCTTCTGTCCTTGAAGGATGTGGTAAGCCATAACTAAATGTAGGTGATCCATTCGGGCAAGTTTTTTCTGTTGGAATAAATTTGTTTTTGTGTTGGTTATTAAGTATACCCATAAATCAACAATTCTCAAAAGACGAGCTAACTGTCCCTTAACCTCTAGGAAAACATGAGTGAGAAGAGCTTTATGTAAGTTGTATTTATACAACATTACATGCTTTTGTGATGTGTATAAAAAAGTGTATAAGTTTCCAGATGCTTGTTTAGTCTTATATAAAATGCCAGCAACAGCGTATGCTACATTTAACTGGCTTTTAGAATCATTTACTGATATGAAAACAGTTAAAGATTTGTGTCCTAGTTCATTTTAATTGAATCAGCATTTGGTTTCCTAACATGCCAATAGCACATACAGCTAGGCCCCACTTGCAATAGTTTATCTTTATTTTAAGGGCAGATGAAAGAGAGAGACATTCAGGCATTCCTTTCTTCCTTAATACAGAAGTGGTTACAATTTAAGCAAAATGTAGGCATTTTTACTTTCATCTAAAGCTGAAAGCTAGGTTCTTGTCCTTCACTTCTTTGAACAGACTATCTCCTTTTGCAGTTCAGTATTTGGTCCATTAACCCTGTATGGACCCATCACTAGATGGCACTACTACCAAAATGCAAATATGCACTGTCAGGTCACTGCACCAGGAATTCATCTACTCCCATTTTGGTAAAACAGGTCACTTAAAAAAACAAACAAAAAAGCTGGTGGCTCAGTGCTCCCTATCAAGATGATGTAAATGGTTTTGCATCTGATGCTGAAGTAGGAGAGAAAATGTGTTATTTCCCAAATCCCTAATACTACTTCTTGCAGAAACAAGGATTCTTCTCACAAAATCAGACATTTACAAAGAGATAGACTTTGAGTTCAGCCTTGAATACAAATATATATTACAACACAAACCCCAGGTGATCATAAAGCACATATTTATACAGTCTGTCTGAGGTAGCACACTATATATCACTCATTAAAAGAGTAGTTTAAAACTTGACTTTATCCTAACTATACAATGCAGCTCTTTGCCTTTTTGATCTCTCTTTTGAAATATCCAAACAGCAACCTCAGTGTAATGAAAGAATTGCTGAACTCCTGATGGAGAGAGCTGTAACAGTCACTGTTACAGCATCTTTGTGCTGCCTCAAAATTCATACTTTCTGTAACAACTCTAACACTCTCTCCAGTGTTCTTCCAGTCCAATGTGGAGATGAAAATGAAGGCACAAAAAGAAGATATGCAAAAAAGCTTCCACTAATCTTGGGCTTGGAAGCCCAGCTGGAAAACTAAAGGTCTTGAATTTCAGTGATTAAATTTTCAATTGTTGTTACAAATTTTCTATTATTATGATCTGTGGTCAGGCACAGTAACATGGAACAACAGGCCCTCTAAGGACACATCAGAGGACTCTGTAACTCTCTCTAGCTAAACAGTATCACAGTGCAGGAAAATCCAGAGGCCAGTTCTCCAATCAACAGACTTTAAAAAGGTTCCAAAGGTAACAAAGAAGCTAAAAGCAGTTTTAAGAAGCTGTGGCAACAAATGACACAGCCACTAGGTGGAGAACTGTCCCCCTTTTTTTCCCCAAAAGGATTCTGTTGTTATTTGTGGCAATACTGCAACAGTTTCTCTGCTGGAGTAATACAACATCGAATTACAAAACTTCCTAAAATTAAGATCCCACTAATGTCAGAAATCAAATTTCATACTTCCCATATACTTGTCTTTTGAAGGAAACATGACATGTTGCTACTGGATTTCAGGTATTTACCAATAGCAGAGTAATAGCAAGAATCTGAGATTTTATATTCTAGCTTAATTTCTAGATGTAAATGTGGTAACTTAAAAATGTGAGGGAGCAGAAAATCTAGGTTTTCTGATGTTCTTTCAGAAAMCTTCTATGAACCACATATATCTCTTTTGTGTTCCAATTATATTCTCAAGATATTAAAAACTTATTCCAATCTCAGTCTCCCTGCAATAGCCTGCTCCTTCAGTCGTTTCCTTTGTCCGTTTCCTGCTTCCCTGTTACTTCAGTTTTCAGTTTCATAGTTCTACTTCCTTTGCCTCCCATCAAGCCAGTTCCAGTGCCTTCATACAGATGTACCTTCAGCAGGATGGACTGGAGACTCCTTCTGTGCCCTGGATTCCATCGCTCCTCTAACTTTAGTACAGCTGGGTGTTGGCTGAGTCTCTTCAAAAATTTTTCTTTGTAACAGTACTGTGGATTTTACACCACCTATCAGGGAAAAATAAATAAATAAATAAAAGAAAGCCTTGGTTTAACTTCACTAGGTAGTCTGATTTGGGGTGACCAAAGTTTTCAACAATTATTTTCCCCTGGCTCATGATACTTTTCTTAGTATCTTTAAGTAGCTGCTCAAATATGCTATTCCTGTTAGTCTAGAGATAACTTCAAACTTTGCAGAACCATCTAGGCTAAAATATTCTCTGTGTACTATAAAACAACGTATCTTTGGAGGAAAAACTAGGGGTAGCTGAGACTTGTTGGAACTCCCAGAACACTGGACCTGCACAGGATGCAATCAGTTTTGGCAGCAAGTTGAAAAGGGCATCTCTATGCAGACTCTTCTGAAAGACTGTAACTTCAGGAAGCAAAGCTTTCTCTTGTCTGCCTGTTACTAAAATGTAAGGCAGATATCCATAAAATATTGAAATACAAGCAAGGTTCCATTCCTCAACAACTATTCAGGTACTCAACATACTTTAAAGACAAAAAACAAACACTGTCATAAATTTCCAGCAAATTCCAAAGCTTATTCTATGGACCACTTTCTCCATCACAGCATGCATCACAGCTAATTTAATCCAAAAGAAACCCAAGCCTGTACTAACAAGCACTTCAAATCTTATAACCTCCACAAATCTTTATCCACTGAGATACAAGGGCATTATTTCACTAATAATGTATGTTTATTTTAACAGTAAAATTAATTTTAACAGCAATTGCAGGGATACCCCATGTCCTACAGATTTCATCTCATACTTACTTCTCTGGTACTTTATAAGGACTTAGTTCTCATTTCACACATGTCTCTATATGAGCTGTAACAAGATCCCTATTTTTCTAATTAGATCAATTCAACTAGTAAAAAAAAATCAGTTAGCAAATAACTACCTTTGAAACCACTAACTGTCAACCTACTGTGGCCAAAAATTAGCCATGTTATTTGGGAGGAATGATATTATATATATATATAAGTGTATATATTACACACATATTTATATTACACACTTTTTTTCTACATTATTTTTATATTTTTAATGGGAATGACAAAAGGATGACAAATAATCCTATCAATAATTTACTAACAGGCACAGTCACAATTTCAAGATCATGATGTGTCTGCTTACCAACAGCATCCACTTCCTCTACTTGAGAAGAAAAAGCCTTTGGTTGACTATTTTTAGCTTTTGAAGAAACTTTGTCCTTGGAATCCCAGAGTTTTAAAGTTATTTTGTGATCTCTTAGTTTCATCAGATATTCATTGGTGACATTGATATCAATACTACAGTTCCATGATACCCAGATCTTGTTATTTTCCAACCATGGTGCAATAGTCTATTAAAACAAACATGAAAATCTTCACAGGAACCAATCAGTATTGAAAAACTTATACTCACATGTTGACTACTATCACAACTATTTAATTTCAGATAGTAGAGTGTATGGAAAAAAGCTATCAAGAGCTCTTGAACAACTCCAGGGTTACAAAATTTTACAATCAAGTATTGAAAGGATATTACAATTAGAAGAATCTAACTGGAAAACAATATAATGAGAGCTATCAGGCATAGCTTTTCTTTTTTTGAAAGCAACTGGTTATTATCTACGAGTAAAATGTTGTAGGTTTAATTGTATCAGAAGAAAGCTGTTCTTCTAAATATAACTGTACATTTTTTATTTTTACAAGTATACTGGGACTTACATGAACTAATCTGCACATGTAGATAGCACCTAAGCAATAGTTAAAACTATATATAACTGCAACACTTCACCTTTGAAATTATTTTCCATATACAACTTACTAGACTCCTCATTTTATACATATTTAAGTTATGTATGTATGTCATATATGTTTTATGCATACATACGCACATATGCAACTTTGTTGTTGTTGTTGTGGTTTTACCTTGGAATCAGATTCTGTAAATAGCTTTGCAATCATCCCAAACAACACCAAATCCAGTTTGCCAGGTACAATGTCATCAGGTAGAAGGTAATACTCAATATGATAGTAACGTCGCATTCTTGGAATAGCTCCATGTTTGGGATCTGGAATACTACCTCTTCGCACTTCAGCTGCATCTGATGTCTTTCGCTTGCGTTCTATTGAGAATATTAGAAATACTGGGCAGCATCACAAGCCATCAAAGATGACACTTTCAGGAGAAAAAAATATCACACTTATTCCAATGGTCAAATGGCAATAAGTGTTACTTCATGATAGCAGAAAAAATAACTGTTTGAAGTAAACAACTGCTGAAAGTAAAACTCTTATTCCAGTGCACAAGTCTGCTTTTTTAACTCAAGTTTAACTGCAATAACAGTCCATTACCTTTCTGGAATTTCCCTCATTCTTTCTTTCTGCTGTATGTCTTCTTCCCATCCTGTTAACTCACACGGCCTACACATCCTGTGTACATACATTTATGTGTGTATATGTATATATACACATACACACACATACACACACCCTGTAGCACATACATCCTATTAGCCAGTTAACTTGTACAAAGCAGTTGTCCCMTATCCCTTGGGGAAATGATGATGTCCATTTTTTCTACTGTACACCTGCTGAAGTCCTGATGCCTTCATCCAAAATGCTAAAGGTAGTAATACAACCTTTAGACTACCCCAAATCATAACGAGGCAAGTTGAAAATGAAAAAAAAAAAAAATCATTATTAGGCAGAGACCTAATTAATAAGCACCATCTAAAATCCAGTTGAATACCTGTGATGACTGAAGAGACAGCAGTCAGCAAAAAGGAAAGGTTTTCAGTCACCTGTGACAATCACCAATATTTATAAAAAGCTCCCACGTCCCACTGACATTTCCTGAGTGATCTGTTCGGGAAATTCAAACCAACCTACATCTTTTCTAACATTACCTCCAATAAAGACTCAGGACTCTAACCCAGAATTATTTTAAGAAATAAAGAGAAAAAAAAATTAAAAAGGATTCTTAGGAAAACTATCAGGTACTTACTTGGAACCACTAAAGGGACAGCTAGTGAAACTGCGAATGTGCAGGTGACAGTATGTGAGGCATCAAGTTCCTCTGAACCTTTTTCAGACAGGCAGGGCTGGCTGCTTTCACTTTCTTGGGTCAGACGACCACTACCCTCAAGTTCCTCTAGACTTTCCGATTCAAAAGTGCTTTTAGAGGACATTGTGGCCAAGTCTGTCATCTCTTCTCTATCTCCCTCCTCAATCTCTTCTTCATCTACTGCCTCCGAAGTACCATGATCTTGCTCTGCCATCTTGATGTTTGATCACCAGGCAACCAATAGTAAGACCACACTGCAGGAAGAAAAGCTTGTTTTAGTGTTGCTCTACCAACCTAATAAAAACACTTACCAGAGCCAAAGCAGGAGTTAGGAAGGACAGTATCAGGAGGCATAAACATTCTCATTTCAAGATACTTTCAAACCGTATAACACGTATAGCCAGAGGATTAAATGTAGAGAACAGGTTTACAGAAAGGTTTCCAAGTACAAGGACAAGGTAACTCTATGTCAACATACCTAGCAAAAAAAGGCCCACAAAGCTCCAAAATCAAAAAGGCTAATGTCTTCAGAGGCTACCATCTACCACTTCCTTTTCTTCTTAACTGCACAGAGGAAAGCTGAGTTTGCAGGGGAAAAAACAAACAAACAAACAAAAAGTTCCTCCTTGCCAGCGCCACGTGCAGCACGAGGCCCCGCAGGTGCAGTGGGAGGGAGGGACAACCCGGCCACCTCGCGCAGAAGTGCCTGACCCCGGCGCAGTGCCCTGCACCTGCTGCGGGAGAGGGGCTCCTCGGAGCGCACGGGACGCAGCTCCACCCCCGGGATCGAAGCCGCGTGCGGGCACGGGGACGTGGCCAGAAGCGCCCTGCAGCGCCCTGCTCCCCGAGAGCCCGGTCGCTCGCTCCGCGCCGCCTCCTTCGCAACGGCGTCGCAGCACGCGACAAAGAAGCCCGTCCCTCCGCGCCCCAGAATCCGCGACGCGCGCGCAGGGTCCGCGGCCGGGGCGGGCGCGCGCGCGGCTCAGGCACACGTAGGTGGGCTCTCCAGAGCCAGCCGGGTTAGGCGCTGTGCTGCTCGGGACGTGAGCCGTGCAGCAGCGCCCTGGGGCTAGCGGATTCCATGCACCAGGATTTTTTACAGCTGCAGCTCTGCTTGCCCTGTCGCGTAGCTGTACACGTGAAGCTGGGCTAGGCAGGACAAGCAACACAGAGAGGTGCCCGTGTTTCGGGGCCGCAGCCGGGCCTCCGTCGGCTTCACACACCTGCCTTGGCCACTTCAAGAGAAAAACGATTACTGGAATACCTGAACATTTCGGCACTGATTCCTAAAACAGTGCAAGGATCTCAGGCTTTCACTGGTCACATGTTTACAGCATATTCACGTTTTAAAATACTTTCACTACCTTCTCTCCAGGATTGATATGAAGTGTAAGGTTGCTGTATCTTAGAAGCATGGGTCAATACTTACTTGAAGTAAAGCTAAGCTACAGTGATGCCCTGCACACCTGTGACCGCTCCGGCGCCCACATGGGCCATCCCAGTGCACTCCGCTCATGCCACACAAAACCAAACCAGCACATCAAAATCAGTACGCTGCCTCCCACACGCATTTTATAGAGCACTTCCACCTGAAAATTTAGAAGTAATGCAGTGATCATCTCAGAATAAAAAATATTTGCAGCCTTATTCCTTCTCAAACATTTACAATGTAGTTTTCATTGGACAAATTTGTTGTCTTGAGCACAGATAACAGTTATGATACAGCAGGCAAAAGAATGAGGAAAAGATTATCTACAGATGTCTAATGCCTATGAAAGAGTAATCATTAATATGCAATTATACAGGCAACTAACTAATCACCAAAATACACGTATGCATGTTCATTCTGGTAACTTTAAGAACATTCCTTATTCAGCAGAAAAAATCACAGAATCAGATAGAAATAGCAGGACGTAAGCTTCTCAAAGACAGTAACACAGGATTATCTACACACAGACCACTGAGCATTAAACCATCGTGTGAATTTAGCACATTAGTTACTCTTCACCAACCTCCTTTTCAGAAACCCAGCGTGCTTAAAAACTATCAGTCCTTACTTCCATAACTCACATATTGATTTTCCTGTTCCCTAGACAACAGTGAAACTATTACAAGATCAGTTTAGCAGTTATAAGGCAAATCTTAAGTAAATATTTTGTCTTCTTGCAAAAGCCACACATTTTATTTTTAATAGGAAGAATTCAGTGTTTAAGCCTGTTTAATTTGTGTGCTTAGTTAGACAGTATTTCACACAATTGGGATGAAAAAGGCTTGGGATATTCATTTAACAGAATTCTATTCCCTTTGTTTTCCCCCATGAACCTGGATCACAAGTGATATTAGGAACTGTGCCTGACATCTAAATTATCTGGGCAGAAAGCAGAGCGTAAATTAGAATGTCAATGGAATTAAACATGATTATAATGAAAAGCTTTACTGACAGACAAAAGCTGCAACATTTTAGGCAGTACTCTATGGAGGTTCAAATACACAAATCCCTGTATGCTGTCCCCCCAGACCTGCTACCTATAGCATGAGTTTTCATAAATCTCTTTTGGACAAACTCAAAGAGTACCTTACATCCAAAAAATATAACCCAGCAAGAATATGGATTTTCCAGACAGAAACTGAAAAGCCCATAAAGCCTAGAAGAATCCAAATCTCAAAATGGCCCAATGACTCATGTTGCTTTTGTACCAAAGCTAGGTCAAGACACTAACCCTAGACGCCAGTTTTCCATTCCAGCCTTCAGAAGAAATGTGCTGCGGATGCATGTGCTGGATGTCTACCTGCCAGGTTGCCAGGAGCTATCCCTCCTCACCAGGCCAGCCCCTCTCCCTCTCTGGCAAAGGCTGTGGACCACAAATATGACAAGCAGGAATGCTCAATGGTCCCAAACCATGCTGCACCTACCAAACAAGAGCACATCCAACATTTTTGGAGTGGCAAGTAACTTCGAAATCATATCAATAACAACACTGCACCACACTCACCTCTATGAAATTTTCTATGAAAACCAAAAATCAATTTAGAAAATACCAATGACATCACAATATGACTTTGTTGAAAAAGCTTTAGAAAATACATTTGGCACTTAGCATTATGTTTTTACTTCTCTTTAAATAGAAAATTTCAAAGGAAAAGAGTCTGTTTTACAGTAATGATGTGACCTTTTGCTTCAAGATAAGCCTGTTCCACAGCCTATCACTTCTATGTGCCTCTGTACAGCACTACTGAATGACAATTCACTACCTGATGAGACCGAACTATTGGTACCCTGACACGCTTGAGACACAAACATAGTCTGTGCTGATCCTTGGTCCTGAAACATATGTGAACTATGAAATAAAATATGAGTATAGTTAATTTAAGGCCAAACCAGTTATTTCTTTCTGTAAACAGCATTACTGTATGTGCCCTTATCCCACTCCAAGCTAATACAATTTCTATCTATGTTGGCAAACAAGCTAAAGTCAGATAATGATACCCAAAAATTTATTGAAATAAATGTCTCCAAGTGGTTATTTTCAGAAGACAATATTTTAAAATACTTCTGATTTCCAATTATAAACACAATATTGTAGAAACACTCATTATATTCAAGTAACGCGTTCCTAACTCCTTTTCTATTGTTAGGACTTTTCCATACATACTTTCAACATACTTTCAACATACTTTCAAACTCCAGTAGAAGCACCTGTGCGCTGCCAGGACTGCTAACAACTTAGTAAAGAAAAAGTCCTTACGTATTTAACAAAATGTTGAAATTTCACTGAGAAGGTTTGGAGAATATGTCAATGAACACAAAAGTCTCAACTGTTAGGGGTAAAACCTCAGTTCTAGGTAAATGTACGAGTGATTATTAAGCCAATACAAACACTTCTGTACCATATCTACTTCCATTCAGAAATAAAATGCAGGTGGGCTTGATATGACATCATTCTTACCCTGTTCATTTCCCTTTTACTGTGATAAAACAAAAAGTCAATGATTTGTCATGCTATTTATCCCCTTCATTCTTTGAAAAACGAAGAACAGCAGATGGGCAATGGGGAATTCAACAAAGGCCCAGATGTTCCCCAGCACTGTTAGCAGTGCCTCTATTCTAACCAGAGATAACATCAGGAAACCTACTTGGAAAACAAATGCGCTAATGTAAAATTTATGCTAACATGTCTACAGCCTGGTAAAGATTCTGTCAGTCTTTAAATCAGTTATCCTCATTTGAGAATATTTTTTTACAACTGAAAAGTGCTACAGCAAACCAAGTTTAAATTAGACCACTGTCTAACTCCAGGACTTTCTCCTTTAGTTTTCATTTGGGATCAGTCCAGCTGATGTGTGTAGATAACAGATGCGAATTTACAGATCTGCTAAAAACGCCCAGGGTTTATCTATCCCATTCCTACTAGTTCTGCATTATAGGACATATAGTAGGTCTTAATTCATGCAAAATAATACTAGCAGACTAAAAAATTCTAAAGTTTTATATGTCTACATATAGAACAATATGAAAATAAAACATTTATATGTATTTGTTAAGCATAGAAAAAAAATAACTCTCTGTCCAACCACTCAAATCAATCAAAACTATGAGTAATATTATTTATCAAACCAAGTATTACAGACAAGAAAATGAAATAAGTACTCTTTGAAGGTACATAATGATTCAACAAACAGAAGAAATATATCTATCAACTGGACAAGAGATTTAAATTTAAGAGTGTCTAATGTCTGTAAAACTACAAAACACTATTCTTCTGGGTAGGAAATCCACTGAATCACTGGTGGATAAAAGTCAGCTCTTGAGAATAAGGAGCCTGATTCTCTGGGTATTGAGTGGCCTGGGGGAACTCCAGGTCCCATAAAATAAAAATCACAGATTCACAGAATGGTTGGGGTTGGAAGGGACCTCTAGAGATCTAGTCCAACCCCCCTGCTCCAGCAGGGACACCCAGAGCACACGGCACAGGGCTGCATCCAGGAAGGTTTGGAAGATCTCTAGAGGAGATGACTCTACAACCTCTCTGGGCAGCCTCTTCCTGCGCTCTGTCACCCTCACGGTTCTTCCTCACATGCAGATGGAACTTTCTGTGTTTCAATTTGTACCCATTACCCCTTGACCCGTCACCGGCTACCTCCGAGAAGAGTTTGGCCTCATCCTCTCCTCAGGTCAGAAATAAATGTTCAGCAAAGCAACACTGTACTTCATCAATCTACCCTCTGAATAATCACAAATCTGATTTTTAGTAAAGCAGAAGATGAAAGAACTCCCTTACCCTCAGGGATGTTGAAACCACCTCAAGAAAGGTGGTTTCAAAGGCCACTCACATTAAGCCTTACTCCAGTGCAGAGGCAACATCTGTGAGCTGGGACACAGGCAGTACCAGGACAGCGAATGGACACCGACGGCCCCATTAAGATAAGGGCGGAGGACAAAGAAAAACTTAAGACCGGCGGGACAGGGCACGGAGGTAGACTGCGCTGGTAACGAGCGGCGGCCGCCGCGCGCCCAACGGCCGCCACTGAGCGGGGCGGGTCCGCCCCCGTCGAGCCCCTCCCGGCCGCCGCCGCAGGAGCCTCCCTGCGGCCCCAGGGCGGAGGGAGCGGGTGCGGGTCGGAGGAACATGGTCGGCGGCGGGCGGGCGCGATGGAGCCGCCCGAGGGCTGGGACCCGTACCGGCGGCCGGCGCGCCGCACGCAGTGGCTGGTGAGCGCCCTGGCGTACCACTACGGGCTGGACCGCGGCGTGGAGAACGAGATCGTGGTGCTGGCCACGGGGCTGGACCAGTACCTGCAGGAGATCTTCCACCACCTGGACTGCGCCGGCGAGGGCAGGATCCCCGGCGAGGACTTCCGCACGCTCTGCCAGGTGCTGGGGCTGGAAGCGGCGGCGGCGGCCGAGCCGGAGGAGTGCGCGGGGCTGTACGAGGGGCTCGCGGCCGAGCTCACGTTCCGCCAGTTCCACGCGCGCCTCTGCGGCTACTTCAGCACGCAGGCGGGCGCACCGCGCGCCGTGCCGCGCCTGCCGCTGGGCGCCGAGAGCGAGCACATCGAAACGCAGATCCGGCTGCGCAGCCCCCTG